AGGTGGTTGTTGTTGCGAGACTTGGTTGTGTAGCCGGAGGGAGGATGGTGGGTAGAGGGGGAGAGGTAGGGTGGTGGTTGTTGTTGCGAGACTTGGTTGTATAGCTGGAGGGAGGATGGTGGGTAGAGGGGGAGAGGTAGGGTGGTGGTGGTTGTTGCGATACTTGGTTATGTAGCCGGAAGGAGGGTGGTGGGTAGAGGGGGAGAGGTAGGGTGGTGGTTGTTGTTGCGAGACTCGGTTGTGTAGCTGAAGGTTTGTTTCCGGTTACATCAGCTTGTATGTGGAAATGGACTAATCTGACTCTTAGTAAAACAACTGATGCATTCTGTTTGGAAGGACATATGAGTGTTGACAGAAAGGTTTTGAGGTGAGGTGATGTGAAATAGGGTTAAATGTTGCGTTAAATTATCGCGTGTTTGTGTGTGTGGCTGTCCTTATATTTTATAATGCTAACCCACCTATATACCATGCCACAGTTGAACATTAATACCCAACTCAGACACAGTATACTGACTCTGAGACGACCTGTCTTTGTTTTAGCCCCAAAGAGTAAGGCAGGGTAACAACAAGTACTATCTTATAATAACGTCTTTTGGTATGACGCGTCCGGGGATCGAACCCCGTCCCATCCGCTCTCCGGGCGGAAGCTCTACCAATAGACCACGGCAGCGATAAGAAACGTTTGGAGCCTCACAAGGAATTCAATAATGTTTTGCTGCGGACATCACATAACGACCAAGTTGCATATCCTTGTCAATGAAGTGAATTGTTTGATGGTAATTTTATGGACGTTAAACGACTATTAAGTAGACACTTTAAAAGATGAGGTGAAATAGGGTTTGCTTGCACGTCCAAGCGAACGCTCTACCACTATACCACGGAGGCGGTCCCAATTAAAAAATATTATTGTTGTGAATAGTATACTCAACAACAAAAGTTCCCGTCACACCAATATATCAGTGTATTTTTCTATCAAGTAAAGTTTGCTTTTCAAAATTGTAGTACATGTATGGAATCAAGTCACAAAATCGCAACTGCTATATAAAAGTATGCATTCCATGCAAAAGTTGACTTTTATGTAAGCCCCATGCATTTCACTACCCAAGAATGGGTATGAAAACATGTGCGTGAACGGGATCCCTTATGCATTGTTTAGCATCGTGCTGACAACCACTCAGAAAAACAACAAAATTACGCAATTATTCTTCGAGCAATTGGAATTCTTGAAGCAGGATCGAGTCAACGCGATGTTGCAAGACACCTTAATCGTCACATCTGATCTTCACGGGTCTCAATAGTACGGATAATCTCTGTTATTTTTGTAGATATTTCAAACGTAGAACATGGGATAGCATACGTTATTAACATCGCCTTGATCTCACTTTAAGTGGTGAACCACCCACAACACATTTCAATCACACTCACAAACAAGGTTCATACAGGTGAAGACTAAGTTATTGTGTGCGCTACAAGCTACTGATGATTTGTCGAGGGACAATGGTTATCTCCCAAAACCCCCACATCCCATTTCCCCTACAACCCAGTTCCCCTAAAATTAGTTAAAACAACACGCGGCATTTACCTGTCTGGCATTATGAACTCACCTAAAGGAGAGGTTATGGTCTGGAGTAGAGGTAGTAGAAATGAAAGGGGTAGAGCTTTAGGGGAGTAGGGGACTTAAAGGAAAGTTTAAAAAAAAAGGAATTAATGTAAGTGTAATGAAAGATGCCTGTATGATGAGAAGACAATTTTTAGAAATTACAAAAATAACAATAGGAAGAAACAATTATTACACTGAGAAACTGAGATGAGACGATTTACAGTTGAGATGGCTAGGTTTAGTATATAGATACATGAAACTGACTAACATGACATCAACATGGCTGGTCTTCGCAATGTTGTGTTTGTCATGTCACAGAGAGGAAAGCCCCAAGTACTATTTGATGGTTAGCTTCACACTAAGAACGTCGAGAGACTGACTTGCGTACACTGGAAGTGTGTCAAGTCCACATGTAGAGGAAGACTCACGACAGTAGGAACCGTGATGAGGAATGCTACAGAGCATAACCATGCCCAATACATCGTCAATACCTGGGTCGACCACGGATCACGATTCCCCCTACCACTGTGGAACCATCACGGTACAACAGGTCCCAGGACGAACAACAACCTGGAAGGCTTTCATAACCGACTCAACCGAGATCTCCCTCACCGACATCCCAGCTTTTACAGCTCGACTTTGGAGCAGCTTCAAGAGGCAGGAAGAGAGTGTAAAGAGAGGTGGAGAACCGTCTCTGCCGCCTGAAGGACGAGTTGAAAAGAGAGGTGAAATCCCCAATGCAGTTTCTAGATGCGGTTGGCCATCCCTTCAGGCTGGGATAAAGAGTGAATTGAACATTTGAGATGAAATTCATTATAATGTATTATGAATTTTGAAAAATGAACATTTTGTTATAATGTATTATGAATTTTGAAAAATGAACATTTTATTATAATGTATTATGAATTTTGAAAAATGAACATTTTATTATAATGTATTATGAATTTTGAATAATATCGTAATCGTAATTAAATATTTACCTCAATCTTTTCGTGTTTCTTGGGTTGTTCCATTGTATGAAATAGGTAACGGACTAGGGATTAGCGGTGCCATGGACCGTGAACTTTGTTGTCTTAAGCTGTAGGGGAAATGGGATATAGGGGTTTTGGGAGGTTACCGGGACAATGGTCTTGAATTTCGATCATAGTCCCATTGGAATACGTGTGACACTAATGATTTCCGGCGGCGTATTTTACTATCTCGTGCAGACATACTTTGATGTACTTACCGATTTAGACTTTGTGTAAGTATTATAGAATCCTAAACTCACTCACGGGTAATATCAATTTAATGACACGAGTGAATAGTTCTGGTATCTGAAGAGGTACAACATCCTTAACCCCTACAAGGCTCTGTCAGGGAGCAGCATATCGGGTAGTGTTCAGACCACAACAGGTTGACATGACACAGACAACATTTTGGTTACAAATCATTGTGTCATTACAGTCGGCGTGCGGTGAAATCATGTGCCATCTTTGAGATTCTTGTGCTATCATGCGACCTGGGGATCAAACAGAACGGGCTGATGTCACACACCCTCAGACAAAACTTCAGTAAAAGGTAACTGTACTGTACTGTACTACAGTAGGACCTAAACAGTTTTCTTCAGACAGACTTACAACACTGCAGTTTCTGTGTTTTAAAGTATGTCAGTTCATATCCTCCACCGTCAACTACATATGTAAACATATCAGTTCATTTCCTCCACCATCAACTACATCTGTGAACATTTTAGTCCATTTCCTCCACCGTCAACTACATCTGTGAAAATATCAGATCATTTCCTCCACCATCAACTACATTTATGAACATATCAGTCGCCCACCACCTACTACATCTATGAACATATCAGTCGCCCACCACCTACTGCATCTATGAACATATCTGTCCATGTCATCAAGTATATACTGTATCTGTAAGTATATCAGTTCACTACCAATGGATCATTGCAATTCAGTTATCACACCAGGTGCTCGAGGAAATCGCAAGCATGTCCTGACGTATAGGTAGCACCCGCCACTCACACAACGCAAATAACGGCTAAAGCTTGTTGCCTGATGCCGCTCAGAAGTACTAGAGCATTAGTAATGCATGGAGCAGCTGATGGAAAATAACTAAACGTGGCTAGTATTAACTACTCAATAGCTAAATTTGATACCTCTAAACTCTGCAAAAGATTTGTTCCTATTATTATGTTCAGTTCTTGTTGCAAGCGACGATAATGATTAGCAAACGTGGATTTGAATCCAGTATTTGGTTTAATGTTAAGCCCATTGAAGAAGGTTTATCAACTACTCAGGAATTACTTTGCTGTGTTCGCGAACATGTGCTACTCTTCGTGGAGCAGCTGGAATATATATGCTCGACATAAAGGAAACGTTGACCCTTGTTTCATGAAGCCACGTGTATAGTCAAGAGAATGTTCAATTGTGGCTCAAAAGTATGTGATCATTGTGATAACTAAGCCATTGCTAATGAGTCGGACATGTTTACCTTCTTGACTGATTGTCAACGATCCATTCACATATGTTTCCCCCATGTTTTGCCTTTTAAACTCAATGTTGCAGCACATAAATGAGACTGATTATTCTCTGTCTTGATGTTTCATAAATAAATCCATCCATCCATAAGTTTTGAAACAACATAACAATACTTACCTGAAGTGGTAACACGTGGACAAACGGAACACATGCCAACAAGTCAACCAAATAACATTGTTTGAAAAAGAAATGAAACGTATTTTGTAATAAGTCACAAATCAGATTAAGCTGACGTGACGTGCGTAAGAATTATCGCCTGGCTTTGCGGCAAGCATTGTAAATCTATAGATTGAATATTGTTCACATGTAAGCGTAGTTCAAATTAGTTATTCAGTCTGCCCAGAGAGTGGGTGATCAGTGGTTCGATCCCTTGTCGCGTCATACCAAAAGACGTTAAAAAATGATATTTGTTGTTACCCTGCTTGGTGCTCGGCATTTAAAGATAAAACAAGTACCTGTCGGTGGCTCAGAGTCAGAATACTGTTTCTGAGTGGGGTATCCATGTTAAAATGAGGCATTGTATCTCAGTGGGTTGTCAATGCCGGACTGCAATTATTACCAATACAAACAAGTTTACACACACAATGACGCACGCACGCACGCACGCACACACTCAAACATAAAAACACTCGCGCATGCATGCACGTTGCTCTATAAGGGCAAAACTATTGCGATGTTAGACATCCTGACTGTATGTTTGTTTACCAAAACTGACTGATCAGATTTCCTCATTTGGGTTCAACAACGAAGGTTGCTTCGCATTAACTAATAGAAATAGGGCAAAGTCTGAGAAATCTTACACTGATAACATTTTTTTAACTGCGATGTTTCCATTATGTTTATGTGATCAACAAAGCTGATTTTTTGTTTTTTATTGTTAACATATATTTATTTGCTATGTGAAATATTCAGTTACAAGTATAAAGGCGATACATCAATAGACATGAGCATAACCAACATTTGACTGAGCTTCTTTAACCTACTCGCCTTGGTCCATGTTTGGTGTCTGTAACTGTGCTTTCATCGAGCTAACATCAAGCGAAGTAATGAAAAAGTGCAGTAAGTAATAAAGTATTTTTTGGTGTTGAATTATTGTTAAGCGCCACACTCAGCAATGTTCCAGCTATATAACGATGGTCTAGAAATAATCGAGTCTTGACCAGACAGTCGAGTGATTGACATAATGAGCATCTATCTACGCAATTGGGGATACGATGACATACCTCAGCCACAATGGAAAGTCACCTTTTACGGCGACCATGGGTTGCTGAAGATCTATTCTAAACCGGGTCTTCACTGGTCTCACGATGTTTTGACTTTAAGGAAAAGATTATAACATGCTGCACGTGTCCCTTGGTCTGTAGCTGGATCTGATATGATGTTGTCTTCCTTCTTCGTTACTTATTGCCATGGTCAGGACCTGAAAAGTATAGAACTGTACGTTATTAAACACAGAATATGTCAGATTATATATCACTCACAATAACATGCCTCTGTTTAATGCTCCTGTACATGCACATGTTGGCCCATGACAATGACATACAGTTTTATTCAGCAAGAGTGTTAAATGTTTTGGTTACCTTGAGAATGTGCTCCAGTGTTCTGGTATGGAGATGCGCTGATGGACTCATAGGTCACAGGGGGAGTCTCTGTCATGCCTTCATAGGTACTTGTATCTGCTGCAGCATCCGCTGAAGATGTAATTCATTACGTATTTAACAAGGAAGCCACATCATAACTCTTCTTAATATCACTTTAATATTACCTTCACTGGAATACTGAAATTTAAATCAGTACTGAGCAAAATGACAAAACCTTTATCTACCTTTTGTATTCTCATAAATCTTCAACTGTGAATACTGTTTTTTTTCTGATTCCTCCAAATTTGAATACTGGGCAGGACCATTTATCTGATCTGAAACACAACAATGTGGAACTATTGTAATGATTTCAGTGCTAAACAGTCCCATATATATATATATATATATATATATATATATATATATATATCAGTAATTAATTCCGGTGAAAGGGTAACAACTAATAGCCAGTACATACCTAATGATGAATACCCTCTGTTGTCCATTTCTACAGTTTCAGGATTCCTGGTGCTGTAAAATTAACAAAGTCGGTTTCTAAAAAAGCATGATGGAATGGAGCGATAAACGTACGAACAATATACGTGTTTAGTTGTCTTGTTATGCCTCTTTACCTTATTTACCATTTTCACATGTTCTGTACATTGTTATCTTTAACTTTGACATTCATAATACCTTTTTCGTGATGCAGTTTCTGGAAAACAAAAATAGCCACATGGTACATAATGTAAAACACACATCACACATGGCAACAAAACTCGTCATTCATAAATGAAACCTACATCGACAAGGATCAAGTCACCTGTAAATGACTCCATATATATAGTAATAACTACATACATTTGATGATACAAATGTGTCTTTTATATCAATATTAATGTCGAATACATGCACATTTCAAACCCATTCATCAAATTATGGAATTATTCCTATTGGCAATCATTTTACAACGGAAATGTAACTGTATACCTTTCGGAGTATGACCGAACTTGTATCCCTTTCTGTACAGTACCATCAGAACAATTCCCCCGATGAGCAAGGTGAGAAGAATGCCCCCTACTGTGGTTCCTGCTATTAGCCCGGTACAGGAACATGGAGTTTCTAGTTTTTGCTGATTTGGTGGATCTGCAACATAAGCAAAAGATCATAACAGACGAGTGCTAATCGTATGTCAGTGTTAAGGGTCGGGTGAAAGGATATTTCTTTCCTACTGTTAAACAAACTAACTGGTGATTGGTGGGTGGTGACACAGAGTACATAGGTTCGAATCTCAACATATGTGTAAACGTGATGGCTGGTATCATTGATACTAACACTGCTAAAAGATATGTAGCTCACAACTCATTGGCTCGAACACAGATACACATGTTCACGTTGAATGAATAGAACCCTTGGAAACTTCATATAAGGAACATAACTTCAAGTACTTCAAAATAAGAAATAAAAAAGATGAGTTATATTTGTGAACATAAACGAGGAAAAAATGAAACTTTCAAATACAACATATACTGATCTATTAAGTTGTTTATGGTGATGAGTTGTTCATTACATTTAACTGATAATCAGATTAATTCATTTGTGATTCCACTTGAGTGACACACACCTCCAGCAGTCCTAGTTTCTACAAATACATATCTGTTAGAATCCACATAGTCATTTCTAGCATGTAGTCGGAATATGTGAATATCTCCTGGTGTAAGCCCAGTCACTTCCACCACCATCATCTTGCCGGTGTCTGCATAACTCTTGTAGACAGTCCAAGTTCTTGTAGCAAACTGACGATACTCAAGCAGAAACGTCTGAGGGTGTCCACCATTGAAACCAGGCAGCCATGATAACCATACCGACGACGTTGTTGCATTGTCAAGGTCTCTAAACTGTGTAGGTATCTGTGGTGGTCCTTACAAAAAATAATATGAAAAGGAATGCTGTCATAGCTTTCTCAGAGTATGCTGTAATATCAAACTCTTTATTTGTACAATGAAGATGTAATGATTAAACAACAGTCAGAGCAAGGTATTGAAACACATGAACAAGTGCATCCTGAAATAGTGAATGATAAATCAGAATGTCGTGGCTCACCTTCAGACACTATGCTGAATGTCACTGAACTGCTTTCACCATTGTTAGCTGTCAGACTGTAGTCCCCGAAGTCCTGCTGTTTGAGGTTAGTAAGGTGTAGTCTGGCAGTGACTGAGATGTCTGGGACAGGGCTGGAGGAACCAGTGAGGTCCTGGCTGGTGCTGGTGGTTCTACTCCAGGTGAATGTAGGAAGGGGGTAGGCCAGGACTGACACAGACAGGTTCACGTTACCACCCAGTCTAGAGGCGTACTTGAGTTGCTGGGCAACTGTCTCATCTAGTCGAGGGGAACCTGGTTAAACGTAGACAACACATGTCATGACTCTGGAACAAATAATATCCGTTCAGGGTAGAATATGATGAAGACCAAATTTATCGATTAAGTAGAATTACTCATTAGAAGCCTTTCCTTGACCCTTCAACTTTGCAATATCAACATTAGAGACATGATAACACAGATATACATGCATACCGTAGGGCAGCCATTTACTCAACGGTGTTATTATCATAGACAAAGTTGCGACATAAACCATCAATGGAAATCATCACAACAATAACATCTTTATAGAATATCCAAACAGATTACATTTGACCAGCAACTCCACCCCTTGGCTGACAGGTGTCCCGATGTTGTTACTGGCAGTACAGGAGTAGTTCCCTCTTTGTCTACAGTCTGCTGACTCCAGTCTATATTCTGCTCTCAGGGAGTTATCTGCCCTTGTCAACTCCTCAGTTCCATTCAGTATCCTGATGACTGACCTTGGATTACTATCAGTCTGGCATCGTAACGTCACTGTGTCAGACTCGTTAACTGTCAGTGACCTGCTGAGTGAGTTGGCGGTGAACATGATTATAGTCACGGGGTCTGAAAACATATATGACTCATTGCATCATTGCATCATGGACATGGACGGTAAGGGCTGTACATTAGATTGAACATCCCTTGGATTAGTTACATTCAGCACATGAGTTAACACATTTACGTTTAAAGAGAGTGCTTAAAGATATTTATATTTTTTACGCAACGTTAATCTAGAATGACGCCAAACACAAAGACCATAGGTGTAGCATGCCAAACATGAAACTGATCATCGACGCTGTAGACTATATACTTACACTGAGCATCAACCCTGACTGTGACACTGTCACCAGTGTAGTCTATAAACTTACACTGATCATCAACACTGACTGTCACACTGTCACCTGTGTAGACTATATGCTTACACTGAACATCAACACTGACTGTAACACTGTCACCAGTGTAGACTATATACTTACACTGAACATCAACACTGACTGTAACACTGTCACCTGTGTAGACTATATACTTACACTGAACATCAACACTGACTGTAACACTGTCACCAGTGTAGACTATATACTTACACTGAACATCAACACTGACTGTGACACTGTCACTACTCCCGTGTGTATTATTAGGCTGACATCTGTAGGAGCCTGTCTTAGATCTGTCAGCTTGTCCTAGACTCAGAGTGGTTCCACTGCTGACAGTTGTTCCATTGTGAAACCACCTGTAGCTACATCCTGGTCTACAGAGGGCGGAGCACGTGATTGATGGAAGAGCCTGGTGTTCTGTCACAGTGTAGGAGGAGGTGGAGGGGGTCAGGGAGATCTGGTAGGGCCCGTCTGGAATACATGGCACTGTGACACTGATACCGTGATACAAGAAGATATAGATATACCTCTAATAACACAAATGTGGAAAACAATGATTAGTTGATGATATACAGAAAAGCACTATGAAAACTATATGATAGAACAACGTGTGTTTAATAGCAGACATGCACCTGAATGAGTGATTGTTTAAACTTTTCATGGTTTTGCATAGCGATCAAAATATGAGGTTTGTTTTGTGTTTTTGAGGAAGATGTAGGTAAGTAGTCCCACGCCATATGGCACATCAATTATCAATTGAACATATATCACATAACGGGTAGGTTTCTAGACAGCATATCCGTTTGGGGTAGAGATGGAGAATTTACAATCAGGAATCTTGAGAAACTACTGGGATAATTGCTATCATTATCACAATTTCTGTTTAATACATTGAAAATAAGTGTTTAAGTGTGACGTATCAGAGGCATTTTACAAGTTTTTGCAACTTTGGAGATACAAATTGCGAAACATTTCATTAGGAATAAGGATTGTATTTAGCGAGCCCTGGCGTTGGGGTATTTACCATCCCGAAACATAGTTCCGAATAGATACCGTTTCCATTACGAGTGTATTTCAAAACAAATCTAACGAGCGACATCGAGTTGAAACGTGTTATCTAATTTGGAAGAGGTTTGTAATTTACGTATTATTTAAACTTAGTAAATTCTAATTTGAAAAGAAAACGTCGCCGGTGTAATGGTCGCGTATGAATGCAAACACAACTTTCGTAGCTAATGATACGATAATGGACTCTTCTCACAAGATTTTGGGGGCATTCCACAGGTGAGTAACAATTTATTTAAACTACCATTGCCATGCGAGCATCAAGATAATATATCAACAGCCAATGTCAATGACACTCCCCGTGAGTTTCCTCGACTAAAAGTATTTCTAAATTTTGCTCTTTGTGTTTTATTATTGTATCTTTGATAGCTGTTCATTCTGGCTAACTATGATTGATCATTACATGAATCGGTAATGTGAAGGCTGTACTCACACTGAGGCTCCATGTTGTACCCCTGGCTCCACTCTGACTCCAGACCCTGACTTTCTCTGGCTCTACATCTGTAGCTGTGACTGTCCCGGGAACTCACTGTGAAGGTGTAGGGGGAACCAGGGGAGGTAACTCTGATGTCAGTGTTGTCACGCTGCCAGGTGTAGGTCAAGGTCAGGGCATGGTCAGCTGGGACAGAAGTAGAGGTGGAGCTGCAGGTCAAGGTCACTGTCTGGTTGTAGACAGGAGTTGTGGACACAGGACGGCTAGAAGTGGTGGGCTTGCCTTTTCAAAGAGTTCATATATTAGAGTTCAAGAATTTACATATATATAGTTCTAGAGTGAGTGAATGAATTAGAGGGTGAATGCGTGTGTGAGTGTGAGTTTGGTTGATGTCATTTTAGCAATATGCAAATAATAACACGAAAGGGTTAATACCAATGTGTTTCTCATATCTTACCCAGTTGGAGAGTCGAATCCGGGTCTTCCATGAGCCATGTTATTTCGGTGACATTAACATCAGTTTTAGGCCATAGAACCATCTTCATACTCACAAAATGTAATAAAACTTATGATCTCTTATCAGCCGATTTTAAAAGATAACATTCGTGAGAAGGCTACGTTTTCTCGACTATAAACCATGTTAAGTTCTAACAGAACAAACGTGATATCAACAACAATCGCACACACAGAGCTCGAGGCTACTTTCGTGTACCAACACTTTCACTTACTCATTTGGTTAAATATTTTGAACAAAAATTACATTTTTTTAAAACCCAAATTAATGCATCCCTCTTAATCCAAAAAGCTCTATCCACGCCTGATTAATACAACTTTAACAGTTAATTTGTAGAAAAATACAAGTTATAGAAAAGTACAGGTTTTAGAAAAGTACAAGTTATAGAAAAGTACAAGTTATAGAAATGTGCAAGTTATAGAAAAGTACAAGTTATGGAAATGTACAAGTTATAGAAAAGTACAAGTTATAGAAATGTACAAGTTATAGAAAAGTACAAATGATCTATAACGTCCCTAAGTGATGACCATGGTGCAAATGAAAACACGGGTATTCTTTAGTTCCTGAAGGATATAAATGTATAATCATTATTGGGTTTTATTTAAAACGTGCATTGCATTTTGTATTGACGGCTTGAAAATGTATATTTTAGCAAACAAAAATCAATGTCAACAACCTCAGCGTGAGTTTAATTAGGAGCAATGTTTTATCAAAAGACGGCATAGAGATCTAATGATCAACGCTATTATTTTATTAATATATTATACAACTCCCCTGAATTACTAGATACAAGGGTGCATGGGCGGCCCAGTCGTCAAAGACGGCGCAATGCTCAGTCAGAGTTGCATCATTTAGGCGTGGCAAGACAAAATGACCGTGGGTTGGAATCCAAGATTTACACTGATAACGATTTTGTGCTTATCTCACTCACATGTCCTCGTGGATTTAACAACATTTGTAAAGACTTAGGGCACGTCCCCCCACTTTCATAGTGTTAAAACTAGTACTAGTACTAGTTTGTTTTCATCAATGGGCAAGCTTGTGTTCGAGATCGGATTGTCGTTTTGCTTTGACGACATGTAACCATTTTACTGGTGGAACATGCGCCTGAAACCAAATTAGGCTTTACAGTTACGTTTGTCTTCAACTCAAACACTGCAAAGTCGTAAATATCCTTCTGGCATCAACACCACTTAAATCAATGTTGCCTTGCAGGCGACATTAACCTGCGTCACAATCGTTTGTAACATGGGAAAATATAATATAATTAGAGAGAAGGAATACAGGTATTATTGGGTACATGATTAAGTCGTTACTTGTAGGATCAGGAGATGCACTGACGGAAGTCACAGGATGAAAGGTTGTTTAATTTTTGCAAACAGCTCTGATGGATGTATGTTTATTCAAAAGAGCATTGTTTGTGCGCCATTGTTTAGCGTAAACGTGTTTTCACTTTGCTGTTATGTGTTGAACAATGAAGTGCATTCCATGAAACTATGTAGACAAGGTAGTTTGACGTAGATTCACGGTATGTAACATACAGAGACACAGATACACAGACAAACACGCACGCAGGCACGCACACATGCACGCACGCACGAACGAACGCACGCAAGCAAATACATATTCTGTATCCCTGGATGCTATCTGAGTGTCATTTAGATTTCAGATATTGTTGCCCACTAATGAAAACAAGCATGCGTTACTGGTGTTGTTTGGTGCGTTCACATACCTCATTCCAAAGATAGAATTCCAAAAAGAAGAAAACTTAATGTTCAAAGAAAATTGTGTAGATTGATTAGATTGATAGATAATATATATCTAAGTGCTGGCTGGACAAAGGGCCAAATTAGGACTACAAGGTGTGTATTCAAATACACAGACGATTATGTTTACTTTACATTGCTAGACAGGTATGCCTTTACACATAGTTGAGACATAAGTATATTTTAGTCATCTGAATATGTATATTGAATATAAAGAGGGCTAAACTATGGTCACCGCCTACAAAACAGCAACTGATTAAAGAGCCGCTTACCCAGAACAAGAAGTTTCTGTCCACAGTTTTGTATCACAATAGTAGATCCTCCATTCCCACACGTGTATGTCCCTGCATCTGATGTCTGGATGTTGCTGAGGGTGAAGGTGACATTCCTGGCTGCTATGTTCCCGTGGTACAGCAGTCTGTCTCTGTAGTTGGGCAAGACAACTAATGTCCCAGTACTTGTCACAATGAACACAGGTGCATTACCAGCAGGAGTGACAGCGTAGAAACCAGTACTTGTCCCCAGACCTCCCTGTGGAATCTCCCAGCTGAACCTGGCTGTGTCAGACACTGCAGACAACACTGGACTGGCACTGGGTGCACCTGACACAACACCTGCAGGAAGAAGATATTTGGCTTTTTAGAAGTATCACCGTAATTTACTAAAAGTCACGTTCTATTTGATTTGCTGTGATGATTTAACAAGGAGATATTCCATTTTTCTCTAATATGTGGGGTAATTACTGTTAAATCACCAATCAACACAAAAAAAGAAGAAAAGATAGTAAAGTAAAATCACAGTTATCACACATGTGCCTTATACGAAATACATACCTGCAATCGCACATATTAAAGAAACAGCAGCTATCTTCACCATGCTTGTTGTCTGGCACCTCGGTGAAACCTGGAATGAAGGTTCATCGTCTATCACGAATTTTGATGCTGGTTTGAGTGTCCATAAGATGCTTGTATGAGAGTACCGCCTCCCTGGTCAAGTTGATCAAAACGTGTTCAAAGATGGTGCTTGTTGTTACCCTGCATGGCGCTCGGCATTGAACCAATAAGGACTGGTCGGCTTGGAGTCAGTATACTTGGTCTGAGTTGGGTATCCATGTTAAACTGTGCCACGATAACTCAGTGGGCAAGCACTATATACCAGCATTCATCCGGACCCACACATAAGTTCACACGCACGTACACAAACCTACACACAAACTCACACGCCGCTGTCAACCTGACTAAAAGACAATTAACCAGACAACATATATATATCAATTTTGTAATATCAACTGTCAGGATAAAGGATGAATATCTTAAAAATACCTTCGATTTTCCGGTGCCAAATGATACAATTTGGCTTCTCTAGCCTTGACAAAAAAGTAACTATTTACAATATTTCCTTTTAGGCCGGATTTGAATATGTACAAAATATAAATATCCACAATAGGTAAAAACGTTCATCTGAATCTAAAGTACACATTTTGCCCTGCGTTCACATTATATGCATACATATTTGCATACTTGTGTAAGCAGACCGCCTCAGTGGTCTTGTGGATAAAGCGTCTGTCCGGACAAGAGATAGACACACTAACACACATATTTACACATTTACACACATGCATGCACGTCGCTATATGTGCAGTAATCTTGTAACTTTGAACACGACGTTAAAACTCAGTTTACCCCACCTCAAT